ATGTCATAAAAATTATTTTTATACAAATTAAAAACATAAAAACATAAAAAGTTTATTATATGATTATTATTGTATAAAGTATATGATAAAAATAAGATTAATAGCATAGCATTTTAAAGTCTTCCTGTATTGATTTATACTAATTTAAAGAGTAGCTTTTTTATATAATCTTTATTATTATTTATAATAAAAAATTTTTTAAAATAAAAAATGAATATTATTCAATTAATAATAAGTTAAAAAAATATATTAAGTGATAAATAAAAACATTAAAATATATCTTACAAATATAATAAAGCTATATAAAAAAGCTATAATAAATAATTTCTAAAATTATAAAAAATCAAATATAATTAATGAATACTAATAGTATCTAATGTAATAACGTATAATAATATAATAATATTATATTATTATACATAATAATTATTTTTCACAAATTAAATAATATAAATAATAATAATAATAACAATAATGAATAATGAGTAATGTCTATATTAACAGGCTATGGCAGAGTGATTTTGGCTATCATATCTTTTTATTTCATGACAACTAATTATATTATTGCATCATGGTGTTATATTATTAGTGCACTATTAGATGCAATAGATGGTTATGCAGCAAGATATTTTAATCAAGGCACCAAATTTGGTGCTATGCTTGATCAATTAACTGATCGTATTGGTACTATGTGTCTTTTAGCTGCACTCTGTACATTTTATCCATCTTACTCATTTTGGTTTCAATTAAGTATGGCTATTGATATTAGTTGCCACTGGATATATTTGCATACGTAAGAAATTTTATTCAGATATACATAATATTATTATACAAAAATATAAGAAAATATATTATAGGTCTCTTTTACAAGGAAAAACAAGTCATAAATTTATTGATATGTCTGAAAATCCAATTATGAGGCTGTATTACACTAATCGTAAAGTTTTATTTTTTATGTGTGCTGGTAATGAAGCCTTTTATGCTGCATTATATCTCCTTTTCTTTACTGAAGGACCTACTTGTAAGTTATTATATATATTTTGTTTTGTACATATTAACAATGCTAGATATTATACTAAATATTGTAAAATATACATTTTTATTTCAGTTGTTGGTATAAGTTTATTTAGATTGGTAATGTATCTCTCTGCTCCCATAGCATTTATTAAAGCTGCTATCTCATTGTTACATGGATATATTTCCTGTATCAATTTAAGCATTATTGATCTCAAGGAAAGACAGGAACATTCAAAATTGAATTAAGTTATTGCATTTATTTAGCATATATTCAGATTAAATGTGATTAATTAATCTTCCTAATTTACTATCCTTTACATACAAATATATAATTACATATTTACTAATTGATTTAATTATACTAATTAAATGTGCCATATTTGCATTTGAGTTGATAAATAACAAAAAATAGATGATGCTAGTCAAAATTTATTTTAATAACAATAATAACAGTTACTTTAATAATAACAAATAATAAATATACATATTATACATTTTAAGAAATATATATTTTATGTATTTTATATTATTACAGTTAAAATTTTAAAATATTTAAACAAATATCAATTTAATCCAATAGATCTCGTATATTTTTATATATAATAATTGATTTTATATTTTTAAATAATGCATATAATTTAATAATTTTTTTGAAAAATAAGTGTTGTAGAATGACATTAGGAAAAATTAATAAGTATACTAAATGTGATTGATTTTTAAATATTTTAATGTAATATTAAAAATATATTTCAGTTTATCATAATTGTGCATATTGTAGTTTTTGATGTATTTCATAGTTTATTGTTCATTGATGTATAACATATAAATCTAATGAAAAAAATATATAAAATTTTGAAAAAATATTTAATAAATATTTTTGTTCTTTATGTGGTATATAATAATATA